GAGACGCAAGGAACAGGAGCTGTTGAAGGCGGAGGCCAAGAAGTTCAGGGAACTCTACGAGGAGGAGTTGAGGAAGGAGGGTGCTGGTAAGTACTACATCATCTTACGTACTAATATTATAAAGTAGCTGTTGCCCGAGACTTCGCCCGCGTAGAATATGAAATTTAGTACATAACTTTTTTTTATTTAACATAACATAACATAACATCACGCCTTTTATCCCCGAAGGGGTAGGCAGAGGTGCACATTATGCCAGTGTACAATATAACACCCACTTTTCACTATTTATGTTATGAGTCACATGTAATAGGGGGTGAGCCTATTGCCATATACCGGGCACAATTCCACACTCCGTGCTACTACTGAGATTTTTTAAAAACCCAATATACTTTGCCCGACCCGGGAATCGAACCCGAGACCCCTAGCCCGGCAGTCGCCCTTGCGACCACTCGGCCAACGAGGCAGTCTTTTATTTCAAGTTTTCAAAATAAAAGTAGCCTATGGTACTCCTCAGTTCATCAGCTAATAAGTCTTGCGAAATCGGTCCAGTCATTCCAGAGATTAGACAATACAAACAGACAGACAGACAGACAAAAATTGTAAAAAACAATATTTTGGTATGTATATCGTATGGTTATTTTAATATTACAAACATATACTCTAATTTCATTTATCTGTATAAATGTGAAAGTTTATATGTATGTTTTTCATTCAGTAATATCACAACGGTTGAAAGGAACGGGATGTTTGGAAAAGAGGTAGAATATGTTCTGGAATAACCATGGAATCTGGAATATGGAAGCTGGTTGCAGAAGCTAGTCATTAGTATAGTCAGGAATAAGAATCTTACAGTGCCTTTAGCCAAACACCACTTTAGCGCTTGTCTACAGAGAGAGTAGTAAACTAAATGTATGGGGATGACACCGACAAGTGTCAAAATTTTCGTCAATCCTTACTTACGTGAGTTTGTTTGTTTGTTCCACTTTAACGCCGTAACTACTCAACCGATTGCTTTGAATTTTTGCAGATGTATAGTTAGAAGTCCGGATTAAATAACAGGGTACTTTTTATCCCGGAAAAATGAGATTAATATTCCTAAGGAAAAACCAAAGCATTGGTATAGATGGCGCTGTGTGTATTGGTATATGTCACATTGGCTTTTTATCCTTTTGTGACGCGAGCGATGCCGCGGGTAAAGCTAGCTAGTTACATATAATTTGGTTTTCTATTCTACATGTAGACAAGCGCTAAATGGCATTTGGCTACAGCTGCTAGATACCTAAGCGTTTAAAAGGTTTACGATTATCAAAGCAATGTTACCCGATAATGTGTACTCCTTTAGTTGAATAATACGACCACCTATGTAAGTATATTGTGGCCCATCAAGATTAAGGACTCTGCTGCATATTGGTGGCTAATCGTAGTTTCAAGACATTCCTTACTGCATCAAAATTAATAAGTTCATCTAAGATTAATGTAAGTATTGCAAGACTTGACTGCACGGTTGGTGCGGTGGCTGGACAACCGGCTGCCGTGCAACGTGTCGCGCGTTCAATTCCCGCACGAGACAACACTTTGTGTTATCCACAAATTGTTGTTCCGGGTCTGGGTGTTATGTGTATGTGAACTTGTATGTTTGTAAACGCACCGACGACACAGGAGAAAATCCTATCGTGGGGAAACGTTTTTTTTAAAAAACAAACAATCAAAACTTGCGCATCGTTGCGCAAATACAATGTATTTGCGCATCAGTACTTTATTTTTTCCTTATAGTATACACTCTAGTTATGTTGCTAAATGCAATTACGCATAGCGAAGGAAAAATTACGTTGCATTTAGGTTTCTACCAGGAAGGTAAAAATTTTACGATTGTCCCACTTAAGTATTGAGATTAGCACACTTAACAAGTATCTAGGTACAGTAAATATTGCATCGAATAAGAAAAATATTGAATCGATGAAGTGGAAGCAAGTAACACTACCGACCTAAGCATTCGATTCCCAAATCGGATCAAATAACATTGTTTTTTTCGAAGATTTCTTGACAATAGCACAAAATCTGGAGGTTGGGCCCCGTGTTTGGCAATTGGCCTGGTTGACTTATAACGTAACTCATGGAAACGGGGCTGTCACCCCCTTGCTAGGGGTGTAAAAGCCATATCTCTATCCATTTATTGATATCAGTAAATTCCATTTGCTAGTTGCAAGCGAAATAGAATATATCCAAATCAAATAAAACAACAGCACAATGGGGATGATGACAGGGTATGAAAATTAAAAATATAATTAGTCCGTAAGTTAGGTAATGAAAAAATTTTAGACACGTATTTTTTTATTTTGTCGTATAATAAAACAATACTTAGATAAAACGAATCAAAGTTTAGGAGTGGGGCTAAAACGTCATTTCTTAGTATAAAATGTACTGAGAAGTGACGTCACGCGACATTTCAAATCAATATATCTTCGAAACTATTCGTTTCTGTGAGAAAAGAAAAAATACGTGTCTAATGTTTTTAAATAACAGACGACTTTTTAAATAATAGACGACTAATTTTTATTTTAATATCCGTCTATCAGACGGATATTAAAATAAAAATTAGTCGTCTACCCAATTACACAACGCAATCTATATATCTTAATAATCTTCCATTCTCTTCTTATATAAAAAATCCAAGCAGCTGAGGAACGTATAGCGTCAATCATTTTTTTTTTTAATGAAAGAAGATGTTAAATTCTAAAGAGACAACAACCAAAGACTAAGCTATTAACGATGTCTTTTAAAACATTTTCAACTCTATACCTTTGCGACAAGGTTAATAGTCTAAAGTCCGAATGTTGAAAGGCTATTCAATTCTAAGTTGTATCTCATCTCTGTCATTTACAAAGAATTTGTAGAGACAGAATTATTGAGTAGCGTTTGAATATCTGGGCGTAAATTCTTCTATTCCTATTATAGAGCAACTTGTGGAACAACAGAAGAAAATGAAAGAAAGCGAGGATCGTGCGGCGTCTTTCAAGGACCGGCAGGAGACGCTAGAGAGGCTACAAGCCGAGAACAAGCTCGTCAAAGATACGTGGGACTCTCTGTCTCATATGGGGCTCATGGATGAGAAGTATAAAGAGGAGTTGATGAAGAAGAAAGAGGTTTGTATGAAGGAGATTTTTGCGGCTTATGTGGTAAACGAACAGACGGGTCACCTGATGGTAAGCTAGCGTTGGCCATGAACACTAGAGTAGTTGCAAGTGCGTTGCTGGCCTTTGGGACTTACTAACATGATTGCATGTTGTTTTAAGCTGGTTTTCTGTTTAGACTGTGGTATCATTCCGATCGAGCCCACCCATTTATACCGAAGAGGAATATTTGAAAGAGAAAGATTTTATTGTTTCTTAATTTGTATGCATTGCTCCTAAACTACTGGGCCGATTTTGAATTGTTTTTTCTTTAAAGACCTTATCTGTCATATTAATCCCCGAACGAAATAATTCATTGTATAATCTACAATTAATAATTGTTCCAGGTGGCTAACTCTTGAATCCAATTCCGATCGCTCGACATTGGCATTGTGAAATTTCGTACTCTTGAGTTGCAATACTAGCGCCCATTGCATCCGTATTGCGTGGATATTTAATGAACTAAATAGTATTGAGTTTGGCTTTACATCCCATACTCTGAATGCTATTTTAACAGCTACGATAGGGGTTGTATAGTTTTGTAATTGAATAATTATTGAGATTTTATTAGTTGTATTGACATTGAGATTGGTTTCAAGAGTAAGCCCTAGTCTGATATCTATGTTTGGAAACACGCTCACAACACAGGAGGAAATTATAGTGTCACTACGTTTCTCTTAATATCGCTTATTACCTTTTGCCCACGACTTCGTACGCGCAATCCCGTTTTCTCTCGTTCCCGTAGGATTTTCAAGATTTTTTCTGTCATAAGAACATACTCCTGACAATAACAAACACGACAAAAAAATAAGCCAAATCGGTCCAGCCGTGACAACGGGAAACGGGTTTTATTTTTATATATATATATACACTAGCGGACCCGACAGACGTTGTCCTGTAATAATAGGTATAGATAAATAACTTAGAAACCGACTGCAGCGCCATCTGCTGGGCTGATTTGTGAATCTAAACCATTCCCAGATCCCCTTGAACACACAAAAAAAATTCATCAAAATCGGTCCAGTCGTTTGAGATCAGTTCAGTGACATACACACTCACAGAAGAATTACAGAATTACACATCATCATATCCAAGGACAATATAATAAATAATATCTTATTATATATATAAAGATAGATTAATTCAACTTAAAAATTAGAAAGAGTAATTTAATTCTTTTACCTTCACAGAGAGATTTAGAAATGTGCAACAGGCGTATAGTGAAGCTGAAAAAAGACAGAGCGCGTGCGATGGAAGCAGACGACGCGCTGTTTGATATTGAAGCGAAGAAGATACAGGCCGGCTTGGACCAGAGGCGGTGCCAGGACCTATTGCGGGCTAAGAAAATGAATGATGTGAGTACTGCATTGCATCCTTACTAATATTATAAATCGGAAAGTGAGTTTGTTTGCGTGAAAGCGGAACACGCCGTAAGTACTTAACCGATTGCTTTGAATTTTTGCAGAAGTAAAGTTAGAAGTCCGGATTAAATGATAGGGTACTTATTATCCCGGAAAATTGATGTTCCCGAGGGAAAATAAAAGTATTAGTATAGATGGCGCTGTGTGTATTGGTATATGTCACATAGGCTGCTTTTTATCCTTTTGTGACGCGAGCGAAGCCGCGGGTAAAACCTAGTAGAGAATAAATGTACAGTCAGAAAATATAAATCGATTCAGTACAGAGTAACCATTGGTTGGTCACTGAACCGACCTATTCAACCAATCGGTCGGGAGCGATTACAAAAAAGGTTATTTTTTCTATGAAAGTCCAGACCAGTTATGTTAATTTGACTACTAGGCGCATTATAACCAACTATCACACCCTTAGGAAGCCCGCGCCGGCATAAAAGAGCAAATCAAAGAGAATGCAATGGCTCGCGGCAAGGAGAAGGATGCTGACCGCGACATGCTGGAGTACCAGCAACAGCTCGGCAAACAGCTCGACCAGCTCGTGCAACACCGCGAGCTCACTGAGGCACAGGCGCGCAAGCTGTTCCAGAAACAGTTGCTAGAACAGATCGAGTATAATAAACTTATTAAGGTATGTGCTTCTTGTATCGACTATGCTACGCTAAATTAATGTAGTGCATCAGCGTATTATAAAATGTTTAATGTCTAAATAAAAAAACCTTAAAATATTAAAATACACACTGGTGTAATTGTTCTCATTTCCACCATCATGTGGTGGCGGTAGTGAACTCACTTTCAGAAAACGAAACTTCGATCGCACCGCGGATTTAGAAGTGACTTTTGCAAATTATCTTTCAGAATAGTATGGCTGATAATAATTTGTATGTCTATAAACACACCGATGACCGGGAGAAAATCCAAAATCCTGGTATGGTGGGGTCACTTTTTTAATAATTGATGTGAAATATTTGTCGTGCGAATGCTACTGATATCTGTAAGACCCTACATATAGTGTATCGAAATTAGTCGAAATGGTTAGGTGAGGATAAGGGTCGGCAAGACGCATGTAATGCCCCAAGCGTTGCAGGCGTACATAGGCCACGGTAACCGCTTACCATCTGGTGGGCCGTGTGCTTTTTTGCCACCGTCGTGGTATAAAAAAAGGTGACTATACCGTAAATAATAATCATTGACTTCTAATAAATGTTTGTACAGGCGCGCCAAGACGCGGAGGAGTTAGACCAGAGGAAGAAAGGCATTGCGGCGGCCGACGACTACCAAAATGAAATCACCAAGATTATGTGTCGGTCAGTGTCTTATTGTTTACTAATATTATTAATGGAAAAGTTGGAAAAGTGACTTTGTGTAAATATATATTTGAGTCTTTGCTTTGAGTAAATAGGCATTTTTAGTTTTCTATTATTTAATTTTTATTTTAAGTTGTATATATTTAGTAGTAATAGTTGGTATTTATTTAATATAATCTACTAAGTTGTTCTATATTTATATGACTGTGTGTGGAGGTATATTTGATACTCAATCAACTCAAAACATGAAATTTGAAACAGGTGTAGCTTATGTGTTCTTTTTTTTTGAGGGGTGAGTGAGAGGGAGTGTCAGACTCAGATCCTAGGTACCTTACCTAGGATCTGAGTGTCAGACTACACCAGGAGTGTCAGACTCAGATCCTAGGTACCTTACCTAGGATCTGAGTCTGACACTCCTGGTGTAGTCGGGTAAAAACAAATGATAAGGCGTTTAATAAAATTCTTCTCTTGTTCTGAAATATTCTATCACGCATATATTATAAATGTGAAAGTTTATTTAGTATTAATAAATAGGGAGTTTAAGTCCGTTTTAAACGTAGTTTATAGAACAATAATGGTTGTAGTATTTTTGTAATGCAACTAGTTCATCTTTTCAGGACATATCTATCCACTAACACCTATTATATTCTTTATAGACCCTCATTTAGTGACGAAATGCATCCATTTATGAGAAAGATGTATTCAGGCTTAAAGATGAAAGAAAAATGTCCATGTTCGAAGCCCGACTACTGCGCCGTACCAGTGCGAGAACCCAAGCTCGGTGACACGACAAAAGCAGATCCTAATTCAACCGAAACTAGTCCTAATGATGCTGGTAATGAAGCTCCAATTCCTACTAAGGGTTCCAATAACCCTTGAATTTTTGATAGTGATCCTAGACCTTGTTAAAGAGATTGATTTGATAACCACATACAATCGTGTTTGTGAATATATTTTTTGTGCCGAAATAAATTGTGATTGTTCATTAATGTGTTTTGGTATAGTATTATAGTAATAGTACCTATCTATCCCCGCGTGATTACTCCCCCTCTGCTCGGCTCCTACTGATTGTAGCGTGATGTATTATAGCCTATAGCGTTCCTCGATATATGAACTACCCAAGAGAAAAAGAATACTCAATTCGGACTAGTAATTTCGGAGATTTGCGCGGTCAAACAAATAACGTCATCTGACTGGTATTCGAAGATGATAATGATGTGAGATTATAGACAGATTTAGAAATATTTTAAGATTGGTATTTAATATTTTAACTGTAAATTCCCTTTTTTCAATCAAAATATTCGAAAATACCACCAAAAAAAAATACTAAATTGCACACTATATTTGCTCATCAAATAAATCAATTATACTATCTACTAATCTAACCTAACCTAACCTATTTTGGAAATTCCGTTGTAATATTGAACAATTTTTGTGCAAATCAGTATTTTTGTTTTAAGATGTAATATGTTTTTGTAATATGCAGTTAATTTGTAGTACAGTAATTTTTTTCATATGCAGTAGGTTATTAGTGGAGTAATTTGGTTTGCTTAAATTTCTAACTATTTAGAAATTCACCTTTTTTACTGCACCTCTATAGGTGCAGTAAAAATTCCCCGTATTTTATTGTGAACCTGCGGGTTTTTCCCGATTTGTGAGTGCGTTTATAAACACATCGTTCTATAATCACATCACGTTCACGGCACAATTTGTGGATTGCAAACAGAATTGCGATGTTTCCTCAATCAAAAATAAATTATTTCAACTCCTTAAACCCATTGATTGATTTGATGATATACATTGATTTGGTATTTTCTACCTAATTTAAGAGAAATACGTGCTTATTTCATATACAAGTACAAGTATACAAAATGGACTGCCTCGTTGGCCGAGTGGTCGTAAGTGCTACTGCCGGGCAAGGGGTCTCGGGTTCGATTCCCGAGTCGGGCAAAGTATTACTGGGTTTTTAATAAATTCTCAGTAGTAGCACGGAGTCTGGAATTGTGCCCGGTATATGGCAATAGGCTCACCCCCTATTACATGGGACTCATAACATAAATAGTGAAAAGTGGGTGTTACTTCTGTGTGCACCTCTGTCAACCCCTTCGGGCATAAAACGCGTGATGTTATGTTTATAAATAAAAGAATTACATAATTAGAACTGCTTAAAATAAGATGATCGTATTAGGTTTGATTAAAATAAAGACTAAATATTTCATTCTTGAAGCGAAACTTAGGTTTTTAAATACATTTCATTAAGGAAACATTCCCATACTGTGACTCATTTTTCTTGTTCTACGCAAATTGTTATTGTGACGGTTTGTTTACATCGCACAGCTTTTAATGCTGATGTCATAGGAAAATGGAATTAGATCTGTCTATGATTTATTTGTTTTAGGTACTGTCCTTTGGGTAATTTAATTACCCAGTGATTGATAAATAACTACCGTGAATCATACGGCAGAAGGGCTTATTTACGTGAGCCTTTGGAGAAAGGAGAAATCTTAATGGTCTTTCAACCTTATCATTATCCTTATCCTTACTTAATATTATAAATCGGAAAGTGAGTTTGTTTGTTTGTTCCGCCTTCACGCCGTAACTACTAAACCAATTGCTTTGAATTTTTGCAGAAGTAAAGTTAGAAGTCCGGATTAAATAATAGGGTACTTTTTATCTCGGAAAAATTGACATTCCCGAGGGAAAACAAAAGTATTGGTATAGATGGCGCTGTGTGTATTGGTGACGCGAGTGAAGCCGCGGGTAAAAGCTAGTTGGCAATAAAATTATAAATCTATTAAAGATATTTCCGACTTTTTTTGAAGATCATCAACATTACTTCTCCCGCTCTCTCGTGTGACTAAAAACCTCCGCGTTCCTACTCCAGCTTTGAGCCGAAAGTTATTTCTGACTTAGAAACCACATTTTGTCGTAATCATTATTTAAATTATTTAGAAAGAAAGAAAAATAATTTATTCGCCACCAGACATGGACCACCGAAAATTAACACACAACATAAACATTGAAAAACAAAAATAAAAATAAAACAATATAAAAAACATAAAATAACAAAATAAAAAAAACAACAATAAAGCCAAAAAAAACATTATAAAAAAAGCAAAATAAAAGAGACAAGGTGGCAGCATGTCCACGACGAAAGGGCTCGCCAACTCAGTATAGGTAAGCTGGGCACAGTAAGTACCCAACACTGGTTTTCAGTTGGCACCCCTGCAGTGACGCACGGACGGAAGCAACGAAAAATTATTTAAAGGAAAATAATAGGAATACATAAGACACATGTTAAAACAATAAAAGAAAAGGAAGATATTTAAACACAGACCTCTGTGTGTGCACATTGTGCGATAAATAAATAAATAAATAAAAAATAAGTATACATACATAAACTAGTGCTACGTGTACCGTCACCGAAGAAAAGAAAAATAAAAACATTATAAACCACATATATCAGTACAATTAAAATAGTGTGTTTAGGTTGTCGTCGTGATTTAAAGGGTTCGATGCTCGGGTCGGGCAAAGTAATACTAAGTTTTTTATTTAAATCTCAATATTAGCACGGAGTCTGGAATTGTAGTATATGGCAATGGGCTCACCCCTTATTACGTGGGACTCACAACGTACCTAAATAGTGAAAAGTGGGTGTTACATTGTATAGCGGCATTAAGTGCCATAATGTGCAATATCAGCCTATCCCTTCGGGGATAAAAAGCGTGAAGTTATGTCCATTACCGAATTTCCTACTCTGGACAGTGTGACGCTGATTTTAATGAATTCGTCATCTCGTGCGTACATAACGTACGAGTACGTGCCTACTCCGTCGGAAATGCTCGGCTCAAAATCGACACGTAGATATAATATGATTGTGATTCTGTGCTTGTTACACAGATTCGCTTGTTGATAACTGTCACGTAGTAATGTACAGTCGATGTTAGAATAAAGTGCTTTGTTCATCAAAATATGGTTTAGAAGTTCCGACCCTATATTTTGGTCTTAGTCGTAAGTAATCCTAGTTTAAAACCTTCCAAAAGGTGTCTCTGGCCTTAAATATAATCATTTATCTTGAATCTAGATTTTATGTCATCACGAATTTTACTAAAACCTATAAACACGTTTTGGACCGACTACAGCAAAATCTCGGCAAACTGCCTCGTTGGCCGAGTGGTCGCAAGGTGGTGCCAAGGAGTTGGGTTTAATTCCCGGCTCGGGCAGAGTATAACTGGGGTTTTTAAAAAAATCTCAGTAGTATCACGGAGTCTGGAATTGTGCCCGGTATATTCCCCTTCGCAGGTCAAAGTGATGTTATGTTACAACAAAATCTTCATCGAGATTCTAGCTATAAAATGGACCAATATTTTTAGTCCAAACTTCCTAACGGGCAGTCTGGTAGGTAGTTGTCTCATAATAACCACAATGAAACAAACTTCAACAGTTTATTTTGTTTATTATGGGCGCACAATACCGAGAAGGTTGCCCGTGGTTAACGAGCAGGTTAAGTAGCCATAACTATACTTAATTCACATGGGTGAATGACAGGTAATTGACAATCGCAGGGTTCGTAGCTTCAGATTTTTTGTCCAATAGAAAATTAACAAACAAACCTTAAGACATGAAATTTTTGACAGCTTCAGTAATAAAATAAACAGCTAGACCGCATGCCACGTCGCGGAGAACCTAACGGGTAACCGGGGCCCCGGCTCGACGTGCAGGAGAAGGAACGGGGTGGTTTTTAGTCACGGAATATAGAATACTCTATATTCCGTGTTTTTAGTCAATAAGAGTCTAACACTCCCTCCCATCTCACCCAGGCGGGAGCAGTCATTCGATGATTATCCCCCGTTAAAAAAAAAGACCGCATGCCGCATTACTGCCGCTTTTTGAAAAAAAAATAATTGCCTTATGGTTTTGTCTATGACTTCTACTCCCATATGACAAATGCAATGTTCTTACTCATAAATGCAACATCTGGAAAAGAATATCCTTTACGCACCTACTACAAAAAAGGTCATCGGTTACTGGTGTTTTTCCATTGATGATAGGACCGTGGTTTTAGTTGGGTTTTTCTCCACAGATTAATTAGGGACTTATAGCGAATGGGTCACGTCGAACATATTGTTATGAGTACGTATCCTACGCAAGCGTGAGTCATTGCCTTGAGAGTCGAGAGGACAAAGACTTCCCTCGGTCGAGGAGGAAGTTGTGACGCGTTTGCCTTGTTCGGCTGGTATTGTAGACAACTGGAATGATCTAGTTTTTAGACAAGATTGCAGTTCAAGTTCCGATGTAGGTTTAGAAGTTAAGGAGGTGTGTAGGTACTATACTTTTGATGAAGTTGTAGGAACGAAATGCTAAGAAGTTTATGAATGCAAATACAAACCCAGGTGTTAGCATACGCCCCAATGAAATAAATAAATCAATTTGGTCAACACTCCTTAATTCCTCCTTTTGTTACAGTACTAATAGAAATTACATGTAGAAACTGTAGTTTGTAGCTTTTTACAGAATAATATAAACGACTCACCTGAGTACCGCTAGGCATTTTAAGTTGAATCATAGATCAACATTTTCATTCTATTCCCTATAGTGCAAAGGGCGAATTTTGTACTTAGCATATTTTGTTTGGCACAACACCTGGTACAAATCTAGTCTCCATGCAGAATGAATAATTTCCTTCGGCTTCCTTTGCAACCACTTAACCATGAACATGGCATGAATTTAATGCTTTTCAACACCATTTTATAAACAAAATCTAATAGTTTGAAGCACACACACTTCTAATTGTTGTATCATCATGAAAATTAGCAATTAAACGTAGATTACATGACCATACAATAACATGGTGCTATCGATGTGTTCTGATGATGGAATTGAAAGCATTATCTAGTTTGGGCTCACTAGATACCTATATCCATTTCTCACTATTGTGACAAAAATATGATTAAATGCGTATTTTTAAGCTATGAATTTATTATGCCTCAAGAAATACTTACAATGGAAAGGGGTATTTACGATAACATTAGCGTGTTCGAACTGCAACCGGTTTTCCCTCGTGGTGTATGATACCCGGTAAACCTGTCGTGGTCCACATACATAATCGTCATACTCACCTTGTATGAGAAACTAGACCAGTATACTACAGCGTGGGGAAATAATTGTCTAATTACTTAGCGAATATCAATTAGCTATGTATCTCTATACGTATTCATTCCTAGTGATTGATTTGCTTATCAAGATTGCTTCGTTTAAGGCAAGCCATTGTCAAGTGGTCGCATATTGGCAAATGATAATTGGAATTTCGGTATTTCTTTCTTTCTTCATAAAAAACTAGGCTACGAGGTTCAAATACTACGGTGTGTTATTGTTTGGGTTATTTGTTTCATTTAATAAAAATTTAATTCTAAACTATTGAGTCAGCAACCTTACCTAAGCCTCGCGTCGATATACGACGATAAACGGAAACTAGGTCTATTATATAACTCTGATTATCCTTTCGAGGAATCACAGGCATGATGCTATGGTAATGTTATTAACGTGCGTGTAAATAAGTTCATTCATTCGTTTGAAACAAAGGAAATGTTGAATGACATCTTCCTGAGTCATTGTATTCCGACGTAACAACTAGTGTGGTCATAACGACGGCATTGACTGTACTTTATCACGCCGTATTTTCCTGTAGGAAGATTTTAATATATGTTAATAAAAAATATTACTACTTAGGTAGGTGACTTACGTTTTAATGTTTTCCTCAAACCGCTGCGCTATATAAGCTTCAGTACCCGTCATCTTCGTCAGTCGCTTGTAAACATTCGAAGATGTTCACCAAAGTAGTCGCATTCTTCGGTTTGGTGGCTGTGGCTGCGGCCGCGGACCTCAGCGTGGGCAAAGAGGGCGGACAATTAATATTCGACAAGAATGTCACCGCCAGCCCTGCCATCTGGAAACAAGTGCAGAACCTCACCGTGAACGCGACCGACGACGCCCTCATCACACGAGTGGTTGTCATTGACAACAGGCCGGAGAAGGACGGAGAAGCCAAAGTAGTCGATGGAGGTGTAGGACACAACAACATCACCATCGAGCTGAAGAGCCCCACTGTGTTCAGAGGATTCGACTTCACAGTGAAAGTGTTCACGAACGAAGGAGCCGTGCAGGTCCCGCAACATCCAGTTTCTGTTGGAGCTAATACCCAAGTGCCTGTTACAAAGGATGTGCAAAAACCTCAGGAACCTAAAAACGATGGTGACCTCATGATTGGAGGCCCAGCGTCGACACCCAGTACTACCGAAGCACATAAGGACGGCCAAGTCGAAGTGACCCCAGCTGTAGTGGGCCAGGAACAGGCAAGACCGAGCCGTGACACTCAGGATCAGAAGCCAAAGGAGGTCAAGGGCCAGACCACCATCTCTACACCCACTGAGCCGGCAGTTGTAGCAACTAAAGACGTGCAAGACAAGGAACACCACGACCAAGCAGTGTTGAAGAATATGGACCCTAGTCTCAAGCAAGCATTGGACGATATCTTCCACAACAACGCTTCACTGCAATCTGACGACACCCAGAAAGTTGAGGTTCTGCCCATCAAGCCAGAAAGTAAAAAAGACGGACAAGTCCCTCAAGTGCTGAAGGTAGATGAGGTCACCACTCCTAAGGCTGATGCTTCAAGTACCACCCTCAAGAATGAGGAGCAGAAACCAGTTCCCAGCACTGTATCAACCACCAGTGAGGTTCCCTCCACTAAGGTGACCACTGAGTCTACAAATCTCGGTCAAAACGTGCAGACAACACACCAGTTGGAGCAGAACATCAAAGGCCACCCCGTGCACGCGGTGCCCTTACCGTACATTCATTAAATCTTACTTAAAATGTGATATTTAACATTAAGTATTACGTATAAGTATTTATAACAGCTGGAAGTGTTCCAACTTACAGTGTTTGCCATTTAAGTATTAAATAAAATAATTTATAAGTATTTTATGATTTTATTCTACCCTGAAAAGCTTTCATATTTTATTCATTCTACTTATTTGTTTTGGCTCGACTAAAAGTAAAGTAAAGTATTTTAATTGTACGGTACCTACCTATGTGCTGTGGTACTGCCCTATCATTAATTCACGTCGCGGAGAACCTAACGGGTAACCGAGGCTCCGGTTCGACGTGCAGGAGAAGGAACGGGGTGGTTTTTAGTCAGTAAGAGTCTGACACTCCCTCCCGCCTCACCCAGGCGGGAGAAGTCATTCGATGATTGTCCCCCTTCAAAAAAATCATTAATTCACTGATTAAATAATTTATTAGATCAATTGCTAAGTCTCACAAGACTTACAATAGCAGATATTTGAATGATACCCTCCATGATGTTTGATATCCATTGCATTTCTACTTATGAATTTAATATTCAGAAACTCAAAATGACACAAAGATTTTCATTTATGCACGCTACACACCTTAGGATTTAACTGTACCGTCGAACTGTGCAGTTAAATCGAAAGGTGAGTAGAACAAACAGTTAAACTGTACAGTTTTACTTAATAGTGGTATAAGCTGTATGGACCACAGTTAAAACCGCACAGTACTTAAATTCGAAAGGTAAGGTTTGTGAGTATATTTGTCATTCTTTTACGTAAAATCTACTGAACGGATTTGGATGATAGTTGGTACAGAAATAGGTATAATTTATAGTCCATAATAACTATTAAGTAATTTTTAAACCGGGAACGCGGCCGAACTCGGTTGCAGAAGCTAATATAGAAGTATGAATATTGTAATAGATCTACAAATGTATGCTTCGGTGATTGAGTGGTCGCACGCACGACTGTCGACAAAGGAGTTTCGGAGTTTCGTTTCGCGAATCAAGCAGCGACATTTATTCTTATCAGTATTTCTAATATTTCTCAACAGCAAGAAGCCTCAAATTGTGTCTGGTATTGGTAAAAGGCTCACCTGTTACATGAACCACACGTCATAAGTGATGAAAAGTAAGACCGTACAAAAGCTATTTTGAACCTACTTCAAAACAGGAAGAGGTTCTCATTTTGACTGTATTTTTACCGACTTCAAAAAAAGGAGGAGGATGTTCGGCTGATTGTTTTTTTTTGTTTTTCAAAATTCTTGTTTTGTTTGAAAGGGTATACTCCCGAGATGGTCCCATTTCCATGAGGTCAGGATCTGATGATGGGATCCTAGGGAAAGCGAGGGGAACTTTCGAAAATTCTATGGGCGAGTAATGCGTCTACTATGTTTTTCAATTACGATTTTTAAACACTACAATTTGTTAAGAGTCTGGAGTCGACCTGATGATGGAGCCGACAGACAGTCGAGGGAACTCCTCAACGGTTTTATTAACTACCTTGTGTTTGGGTTTGATTAATTTGTATTGATAAGGACTTTACACCTACATAGAGTAGGACTGTCATTAAGGGTCTGATGATGAAGAAGTGTAATTGTTAAGGGAACTCCTCAACGGTATACAGTACCTAACTACCTTGTGTTTGAGCTTGTATAATTTGTATTTATTAGAACTTTGCACCTATGTTGATTATAAGTAACAAAACGGATCTATGTAGCTTTACACTGAAAATCATATAGTAATGAAATAACAACTGCGTTTAAAAAACCGACTTCAAAAAACTAATAACTAGTTATTTTTTTCATTCTAGTTTTGACTTTTTGTTTGTAATTAGTTTTTGGTTTATTTTAAAGTCGGTTTTATAAACGCAGTTTTTATTTTTTATTAATACAAAATAACTGCACGGTTGGCGCGGTGGCTGGGCAACCGGCTGCCGTGCAATGTGTCGCGGGTTCGATTCCCGCACGGAACAACACTTTGTGTGATCCACAAATTGTTGTTCCGGGTCTGGGTGTCATGTGTACGTAAATTTGTATGTTTGTAAACGCACCCACGACACAGGAGAAAATCCTAGTGTGGGCCAACGTTTCTTAAAGAAAAAAAAATATTCAGACTGTATGGTCTACATGTACCTAAATATTAACTTACTCGCTTTTGCCCGGGACTTCGTCCGCGTATAATAATAGTAGATAATGACATCTGGCAGATTTTGGATTTTTATAAAATATCAAATCTTTCCTCTTTATACTAGGTATTAGTGTAGATAATTATTTAACTTACGAGATTTTTCTTAGATTTTGGTGTTTTAGACCGGCACCATTAATTTTTTTTAATTTTATATGGATTCAGACAGATTTAAGCATTAGTAGGTAAGTATACAAATATTTATGAACTGAATTCTAAAAATTGTGAGTACCTACTTGTTTCGTTCGTTTTTGTTCTGTAACTGACAAAAGCCAAGCAAATCACCTTCATACAGCGAATTTCTATTTGTATTTTTCGTTATGAAAGATGCAGTGAACACCAAAGGTGCAAGTCTCATATTTATTTGTGAAGAGGGCCACTACACTCAACACGCACTCGTAGACAAAAAGAAAGTGAATTAAAAAAAAAAACAAAAAACTAATAACGAACAAAAAGTCAAAACTGAAAAGCAAAAAATAACTACATAGGTATTATTAATACTGATAGGTTACCCACCCACTGATAGGTAAGAAGTCGGTGCCATTCCCTTTCAAACAAAACAAGCATTTTGGAAATCGGTTCACAAATGGCGGAGTAATGCGCGAACAAACAAAAAAGAAATCAGCCGAACATAGTACCTCCTCCTTTTTTTGGAAGTCGGTAATAATAAGAGCTAACTAACGTCCGAATACGGAAAGGCTACTCAATTTAAGTTGTATTCAAATATCGTACCATCGTATCGTATGTATACTTTAGCGCGACTTAAAATTGAGTTAGCCTTTCAGTATTGCGGCGTAAGGACCAAAACTAATGAAGTGAATAAATTTACCTATATAAGTGCTCTCTTGGTGCAATTGGCGCATATTGGCACCATACCTCAAAATGTTCCGCGAGAAACACTTAATTAGTCGAGCCGGTCGGACGGTGAGCAAGGGTAGCTCGCCGCCCGACTAGAACCAGACCAGCCATCAGACTACCACAGATGGGGCCCAGTAAGGCTGATGCCCGATACAGAGCTGCGGAAGGCCTAACGAAGTAACGAGAACGGGGTGGTTTTTAGTCAGCAAGAGTCTGACACTCCCTCTCGCCCAACACAAGGCAGCAGAAGTCATTCGATAATTTTTCTCCCTCAAAGAAAAACATTGTAGGGTGCTTTTAAGTAGGTACGTCTTACGAAGTAGCTGTGCAAGTACACATCTAATTTATTATTGAGCACCTATTTCGGGTTTACGAATAGTAGTCTAGAATATTGTGTCCGGTGTATCACAGTATAGTGTATTATTTTGTACCTACATATTATGTTTACACTTCTGCGTAGGTATTCCTTCAGGATCAAATGATGTGTGTATTAATATTAATGTACCTAATGTATAAGTGATTAACTTATTGATTTTATGTTTTCCTCAAACGCTGCCCTATATAAGCTTCAGTATCCACCATGTGGGCCAGTCGCTTGTAAACATTCGAAGATGTTCACAAAAGTAGTCGCATTGTTCTGTTTGGTGGCTGTGGCTGCGGCCACGGACCTCACCGTGGGCAAAAGAGAGGGACGATTAATATTCTACACGACTATTACCGCCAGACCTACCATCTGGAAACAAGTGCAGAACCTCACCGTGAACGCGACCGACGACGCCCTCATCACACGAGTGGTTGTCGTTGACAACAGGCCACAGAAGGACGGAGTAGCCAAACTGGTCGACGGAGGTGTAGGACACAATAACGTCACCATCGAGTTGAAGAGCCCCACTGTGTTCAGAGGATTCAACTTCACCGTGAAAGTGTTTGAGAAGAAAGTAGCCATGCAAAAACCACGTCACCCAGTGTTTGTTGGGGCAAATACCCAAAAGCCGGTTCCAGTGGTTGTATACAAACCCCAGGAAGCAAAGCCGACACCCAGCCCTGGTGAAGCACACAACTACGCCCAGGTCACAGTGAAACCTGCTGCACTGAGTGCGGGAGCTGGGAGCCCTTTGCGCGAACCGTTACGTTTGTAAAACATTACGTAAAATATGATATTTAAAATTACATTTTACGTGAAAGTTCACATCAGCCGCTGAAAGCACTTCAACTTAATGTACCATTTATTACTGAAAATAAAACAAATTTACCTATAAATAGTTTATGATTATTTTCCACCAGTTCACCCTGTTCGATATTTATACAAAATTCCTTCATCTATCTATATACTTATAATAAATCTGTAGAGAGGTCAATTCTGTACATACAATATATTTAAAAAATAACTATCAAGGGGTGGTTAGGGATCGCTACTGATGCCAAAAATGCAATCAGTAAAATTTTTGTCTGTCTGTCTGTCTGTCTGTATGTTCGTTATGGAAACAAAAACTACTCGATGGATTTTAACGAAATTTGGCACAATTATTATTCATACTCTTGGGCAGGTTATAGTATATTTTTCATTACGCTACGATCAATAGGAGCAGAGCAGTGAAGGGAAATATTGGGAAAACGGGAGAAGTTACTCCATTTTTTACGCTTCCGTCGCGTGTGCAGGCTTATAGGTTAAAGCTGCATAGAAATCATGTATGACGGAAATATTCTCCTTAAAATTATATAAAAAATATTCCTCGACAGCATATGTCTATCTTTTATGGTTGACTCACAATAACACGTGAAACTCCCGATAGCTTAGCAATTCGGTGATTTCTGATTGTATTTGTCTACTCTAACGTTTACAATACTCATTCATAGACATTACGCTGTAACTGAAAGGCCAATGGTTGAAATTAGCTTGACTCGATATTATAAATGAAAATATGTGAGTTTATGTGTATGTTTGTTACTCAGTCATATTAAAACCACTGAAGGGACCGGAATGAAATTCGGAACAGAGGTAGATTATGGTCTGAAGTGATACATAGGCATTTTACCCCTGGGACCGCGGGCGAAGCTGCTGGCAGAAGCTAGTTGTTTAATAAATCCCCTATTTAATTTACAAACGAGCAGAAACGAGCAGGTTATCAAGTCTCTCCTGACGGGGTGTAGGTTGGGCAAACTAAAACTCAAAAGCATTTCTGCAATGGTAGGTATTTTGAAACGTCGGGACGTCGGGAAATATAAAATAAATAATAGTCTGTCAGTCTGTCCGTCAGTGAAGCTAAGTGCTCATTCGAAAAAGTAGATTCAAGTGGAGAAGAACGAGAAAGAAACTCCATTCGTTACTCTTTTAAAAAATAGTATGTTTACAATCTCTCTGATACATATTAGAATAATTTACATATTATATGGATGCGAGAACAATGTAAAGACACGTTTGACGCATAACACGAATTACACAAATACTAAAAAAAAAAAAAAAAATAAATGGTCACATATGCATATTGACAATCCATATAAAATAGTGCTTCTATACAAGAAAAAATGCTATTTGTTTCAATAAAGAAAGAAATGTTCGGTGCCATAAGAATACTAAATTGCCTTTAACAGAAAAAGTATTACATTTGCTACTATTGTAATCTGAACCACATTTGAGTATTGTCCAGTGAGCCGAACCAATATGCTGCGCTGCCAAGCATTCTTATCTTCAAGATAATCTGTCACTTTGTATTACGCTTGTTTACACAATTCGCGTTTAATATGCGTTTTAAATTTGCTGTCATTAAGATCTAACATGGTATTTTAGTATAACATAGAAAGAAAGAAAGAAAAAAATCATTTATTCAGCACCAGGCACGACAACATGTAACACTTATGTGTTACATCCTGTAATCATGTAACACTTATGTGGGGTTATCCCTATGAAGGATTTCTGAACCCTGGACAGTCTGAATTGCCTCCGATAATGCACAAGACGGCGAAGCACAACGCGAGCGTTGTGTTTCACACCAGTTCGGTCTATCAAGTGGTATAAAGTCCTAATTTTTATGTATGTACCTACTTGGAAAATCGAACAATTCGAAATTACAAAGATCAAGCAGGCAGAAAGATCTCAGAACTTGACTGACCAACTTCTGCGGTCAGTTATGTAGGTACCTACAATCCTACATTATGAGGGAACTATATGATCGAACATTCGGAATATTTTAACGAGTCTCTCGAGATGACTGTATAATAATTAGGTACGAATTGAAACAAACATGTAAATACATATAAAACTTTAATAAAACAATAGAAATATTCATACAAACTGGAATGCGTTACATGTCATTTAATATCATTATGTCTATGTAAATACACAGTACAGTATTGTACACTGGGCAGCAGGCCAACGTACTATTTTTGTCAAATTTCTTTATTCCATTTTCAACTCTATCGTTCTGATATACTCTTTAGAATCCAATGACAATAATTAACACGTTAGAGTAAGCTGATGTGCTGGCCACTGTACAATATTATAACATGAGTAGGTGATAAAATTGAGCACTGTTACAAAAACACATGTACAAAAATAAATTATTAGTAAGAAAAATATCATATCAAATAGAGTACCTTCAGCAGCCTTTACACAGCACTTTGTAAAAATATTATCTATTTTAATGAAAACAATTGATAGTTACACCATTTTTCTTAAAAAAAAATATTATACTTAAAAAAAAACTATAAACAGTTAACAGACACAAGCAAGAATAAGAAGTAGAAGTTGTATCTATTTTTAGTTTAATACGTATGCTGAATTCAAACCTGGAGTATAGCAATAGGCTCACCATTTTTGTATTATAACTTTCGTGAGACATACTAAATAAATTATTATGTTTTCAGCTTACTCACGTAATTATTTGACGAGCAACTCGACTAGTTATAAGCCATGCTAGAGCCATGCTGTTGCTGCTGTTAATGCTGCTCATGAATATGAGCTTCTAGTATGGGTTGAAACTAGTCGAGTTCCTCGTCAAATAATTATGTGAGTAAAGCGAAAAACGAAAACAATTGCTTTAAGAGCTGGGGCAAGTAACCATTAAATTATCCTGAGTACGGCAGTAAAACTGTGTTATAACCATGTAAAAGATAGTTACATCTTACTGCACGGAACAACTCTTTGTGTTATACACAAATTGTTATTTCGGGTCTGGGTGTCATGTGTATGTGAACTTATATGTTTGTAAACGCACCCACGACACAGGAGAAAACCAAAGTGTAGGGCACCATTTAAAAAAAAATTACAGCTTCAAAGAAGATGATACAAATGTTAAAAAAATGTATATTATAGCACAGTCGACCTTAACCCTTGCCCACCGTGTACGTGTTTGGACTTGAAACACTTTAAATTACGGAAAATACGTGACAAGAGTACTTAAATTATTGTCGGAACTAAGATGAGATGTGGAGACAAGATAATAACTTCTACTAGCCAGGAAGGTAGATTAGAATTCTTTTCTAAAATAGCTCATGTAAAAATCACAATATTTCGAATAACGTGGTATCCCGGAGGTTTACCGCACGGAACAGAGACACCCGCTTCTCATGCATGAGGTTGCGGTTTGGAAACCTACCAACGGCAATAGGATAGATGACTGACTAATTTTTATTTAAATGTCCGTCTGGTAAATTATTTTAAATCATTAGACACGTATTTTTTATTTCAACGAAAATTTTCGACAATATATTGATTTGAAATGTCGCATGACGTAACTTCTATGTACATTTTATACGTAGAAATGACGTTTTAGCCGCCACTCCTAAACTTTGATTCGTTATATCTAAGTATTGTTTTATTATACAACAAATAAAAAAATATTTTTTGATTACCTAACTGACGAACTAATAAGATTTTTAATTTTCATACCCTGTCATCATCCCTATTACCAATGTGACTTTTTCCGAGTTATACATACATTTAATAATACATTTATTGAATCAAGAAAGAGTTTTGCATAATTTTGTTTTACATAATGTCTATCATATAACTTACATAATATTTGTATCATGAAAACAATTTTAGCATCTGCTGCTGAAATAGGTCTTAAGCCTGTGCTTCAGAGTTATATGTAAAGTACTAATATTATTTAGACACTTACTCACAAACCGTCAAGGAAAAACATCGTGAGGAAACCTGGGCTTATAATTTCTAATTATAAGTTTGTAATCGCCAACCCGCATTGAGCACGCGTGGTGTTTAATACTCAAACCATCTCCGTGTGAGAAGAGGCCTTTGGTCAGCAGTGGTTACTTACAGGTTGTTAATGTGTTGATGATATGAAAAATCTAAACAAATACTTTTGCTAGCATACTACTTCTTTTCTTTATATTTATTAAACTGGCATGCAAAGAGGAACATAATTATGAAGTCATAAGTTATGCTCTATGTAAATGCATCCACATTTCGCCATCTATAAATTGCATATAGGTACCTAATTACCTACTATTACAAGCGAGCCTGTTGCAATACTCTGATCATCAAAAACCTTTAACACTATTAAAAAGTGTCAAAAACCGTTCAATAATATACATAGATTTTAACATTACTATGTGCAAGATATGTGTGTATGTACAATTTACACTATTTACTCATTAGTAAATAATTCAAAATAAATGTATTTAAATCCTTACTTACTTATAATATAACCCTTTGTTGCACAGATAAAAAACCAGATCTATGGTTAAAAACACAAAAGAATAAAAATAAGATTTCCAATCACGTTGTCATAGAAATTAGGACTCTATTCCCATCGGCTTATGTTTTAAATGACCATGAACTACATGTGAAACGATTCATAAATATTTCTAAGTGGTATTTTAGCACCACAACATTAAAATAATATTAAACCTTATCAACACCAATGGCAAGTTTCACTAAGCATCTATCCAATAGATGTGCCCGTTAGAGATAAAATTTTAACACATTTCGGAAGAAGTTTTTTATGCCATAAAAACAAGTTCCGAAAAGTACCCGACTCATGTTAAAAGTAGGAAATAAGAAAATAATCTCTTCTGAATTCAATATATTGCGGGTATTGTCCGGTCGGTACAGGCGTTAGAACCCAGTGGTTTTTAGTCAGTAAGAGTCTGACCCTCCCTGTAGTCGTACCTAGGGCGGGAAGAGTTAAAAAGGTAGGTACCTATTCCTTTTGATTTTTAGATGATACTAGCGGGCCCGACAGACGTTGTCCTGCAAATCCACTTGAATGTATAAACAAAAATTTATTCAAATTAGTTCAGCCGTTTAGGATAAAAAACCTAGAGACGACTGCAGCGCCATCTGCCGGGCTAATTTGTGAATCTAAACCATCCAGAGCGCCACTCAAACGCATACAGAAAAATTCATTTAAATCGGTCAAGCCGTTTAGGAGGAGTTCAATGACATACACACGTACAGCTGAATTATATATATAAAGATGCGTTACTATGCCACTTTGTCCTGAAAATCGTATGTACTTAAGTTTGATCATTACTGTACATATAGGCACTATCACCGGAGTAGGTAAATCAGTATGTGCTCGTCGCAGACAGGTAAAAACAAACACTATCTCAAGCAGGTAAATCCATCGACAGACAATACCAACTGGCTATTAATAGCATGTAAACCACTGCACAATACCCACAATTAATTAAAATTAAAATATCATTACATGAATATTTATAAAAATAATAACCTATTTTCATCTGAGGTTAAAATATTAATAATAAATTGTAAGGTACATTTCTATACCTACCCATAACAGACAACAGTACAAAATATAGAACATTCGATTGCACTACAAAAGTAGCTTTTAATGCTCAGATAATAGAGTTTGTATTAGCAGTGATAGATTAACCATGTCCTAGTAGCAAAAAATAGCTACTTGCCCTTGGCAAAACCAAAACCTAATGATATAACCTTAGAGTATTTTCATGAGTGAACCAATTATATAATAATTAATTAAACCAATTATATAATAATTATAAAATTAAAACTCCCACATATTGTTATGATTTAATAAAATTACCGCTCATGCTTAACCCGTCACTGCATACTAGGTCAAAATGTACACTACAAAGTACAAGTGAACTATCTACTCATAACTGAGCAAGGAATGTACAGGTATACCTTTAGGAATGTTTTGTCTGCCAGCTAGTGACGTCAGTTCTATGACAAGCAAGCAGCCTATGACGTCAGCGCCGCAAGTCTTCAGTAAGTGTGTGGCAGCCGTGATGGATCCCCCCGTGGCTATTAAATCATCTATTATGACGCATTTCAGACCCGGCTGTACAGCGTTCTTTTGGATTTCTAGGATGTCCTGAAATTACAATTTAATTTTTACTTTGAGCTGATATGGCTATTTTGTTAAAAAATTGGTTGCCTGTAAAGTCGGTATACGGGCGAAAGTATTACGTGACAACGACTTTGAGTGGTAACGCTCTGTCTCTCTCGCTCTTAGGCGGGCTAACTGTGCTCGAGTGGAAGGGACGCGTGCCTCTCACTCGCTCTCATTGTGAGCGCATAACGTGAGCGGAGCGTAACGCAGTTTCTTGAAGTATCACCCGGCAAACCAATTTATAAGACGTTGTCACGTCAAAAAAACGCTGCTCCACACTCGGATTTTCTCGAATCGAGGGGCACTTTAGCAAACATATTCTACCTACTACGATCGCTCACAAATGAATGTGTATGGATGTGTAGCCTATGTGTTATTCTAGTCTAGACCATAATCAACACCTGAAGGGATCGAGTTTTTTTTTTTGTTTTTAATTTGATGATATTTGGAAACCCTTTTCTAAATGTTCTTCAGTCGTTTTTACGTGAAAGGTCAACAAACAAACAAACAAACACACACACACATCCACACAAACATTCGCATTTATAATATTAGCAGGATTTTTTGTGGACTTATTGTTATAACCTCATAACTTGACATACATAACATAGACTGCCTCGTTGGCCGAGTGGTCGTAAGTGCGACTGCCGAGCAAGGGGTCTCGGGTTCGATTCCCGGGTCGGGCAAAGCATTACTGGGTTTTTTAATATTCTCAGTAGTAGCACGGAGTCTGGAATTGTGCCCGGTATATGGCAATAGGTTCACCCCCTATTACATGGGACTCATAACATAAATAGTGAAAAGTGGGTGTTACATTGTACAGTGGTATAATGTGCACCTCTGCCTACCCCTTCGGGGGTAAAAGGCGTGATGTTATGTTATGTCTCATAACTTGAGTCCCCAACTAAGGGTGCATTTAACACGCTCCACTAGTTACCAAATAACCTAATATTTTTTGCTTTCAAAACACTCACCGATCCATACTCCAGTTCATATTTATAAGCCACAACTTCGCCAGGCAGCTTGCCTTTCTTCCTGACCGGTAGACAAGCTATGCCCAGCTCAGCAGCAATGGAGAATGAGAACAGAAACCCTCGGGACTCCAAGCCTACGACTGCTTGGACGTCAGGAAACTTCGCTTTGATATTCTGTACTAATAGACTTTGTAGCAACTTGTTTGTTGGACCGTCTGCTATCGCTGAGAATATGTCCCTGTAAGTGAAGAATATTTTGTTATTAATAGAGCTGAATGTCGTGGTGGCCCGGAGATTTAAGAAGCTCCCTTCTCATGCATGTGGGTGCGGGTACCAAACCTACCAACGGCAACTACCAATATTGTCGAGTTATATGTATGTACTTTCTAAGATTATTTGGACGCCACTGACAAAAAGTGAAAGAAAACATCGTGTGGAAACCTGGGCTCATAATTTCTAATTTTAAGTTTGAAATCACCAACCCGTATTGAGCAAGCGTAGTCATTAATTCTCAATCCTTCTGTGTGCGAAGAGGCTTTGCTCAGCAGTGGGCATTATAGGCTGTTGATGATTTTGATGATGATGATGATGATGATGAATAGAGCAGAATATATTTTGTGATCACCTAAAGGACTATATTTGACGGAAATTGGGCAGCAGCGTTCTCTGGTAAACTTGATGTTTTTAATCTGTTCTTTAAACTCTCGAGCTAGTCGTGGTGACTATGGCAAACCTAATGGAGCCTACCGTATTTTTGCTCACCACATTACGCTAGTGTAAACCTATCGTTCTTTTTCCAATAGGAATTGATAGTGTCACCATTGGACGTTCAATATGTACAGCTGCTGTGATTGGACAAAAAACTGGTGAGTAAAAATACGGTAGCCTCCATTAAAGCCGAGATGTTGACATTCAGCGGCTGTTAATGATGTAGGTGACGGTAGTACTAAGCAAGACAACTTTGATACCTAGGTTGGGAAAATATTAATTATATTTTAGATTTTTGTAACGTTTTACCGACTTTTGATAAATGATAAATAAGGATTTTATGGTAACAAGGTTTTAATGAATAATTTTATTTAGAATTTATGGCGCCGACTTCTAACCTATCAGTGGGTGGGTTACCTATCAGTACCTATAATAACAGTAACTTTTTAATTCTTACTTTTTGTTCGATATTAGTTTTGGGATTTTTGAAGTCGGATTTTTAAACGCAGTTTCTATTTTTGTTTTAGTAATTCACAGAGAATAATATGAATGTAATGTGGACCACTACCACTGCTTATCTATTCAGAGAATAAATGATGTGAAGTCATAGAGGTATTACACATTCTGGTTAAAATGGAAAATTCATACAGCAGTAACAAAAACCCCGAAACAATAGAAACAAAATTAATAATTAATTTACATTTCCAATCAATTTATATACAACATTTACCTCTGACAGTATTCTGGGTAAATAATTAAATGTAAAATGGGATGTCATCGTTATTGTTTAGTTTTTCGTAACAAAACACATCGAGGTATACAAAACTAGTCTATTTTGGTCTCGCTTCATATAATCTTTCCGCACAGTTCAACGTTCATTTTATACCGGTTTGTATTACTTGATCTGCACCGTGTGTACCTATTCGTACAGGAAAATTTTAGTAGGTACGTCTGGTACATGGTATATGAAATCAATGTTTACATGACGTGAACACCATGCTGTTGGCACATGGACAGATAATTAGTGCATGGTTATAATATAGGGATATTTCAGTACTTATTTACTAACCACAACATTCCTCAAAAGTTCATCAACATTTATTTGAAGGGAGAAAAAATTATTCAATGACTTCTCCCGCCTGGGTGAGGCGATAAGTGTCAGACTCCAGACTCCTACTGTCTAAAAATTCTGCCAGGAGTCTGAGACTCCCTCCCGCCTCACCCAGCCAGGAGAAGACATTTGATGATTTTCACCCTAATGGGTGTTTTTATTTTATTATTTAATAATAATAAAATAAAAACTGCGTTTGAAAAACCGACTTCAAAAACCAAAAACTAATAACAAACAAAAAGTCAATACTAAAAAGCAAAAAATAACTATTATTAGTTCTGATAGCGACGCTCCCTACGAACAAAAGGTTAAGTCAAAAACCGTGGTTTTCAGGAGAGCGTTTCTAAAGTTCAAACCGCTCTACAAAGAATACCGTACATAATTAATTATTTTTTTCTTTTGTAACGTTTTATTAGTTTTAGCAAGTTTATAATGGGATTTATAAATATTTTCTATTTTTATCAGTTCTTAGTAAAACTAACAGATAGCTGTATCTACGCTAACCTTAAAATAAAAGTATGACGGACATGTCTGTGATACCTTTTTATACGCAGGAGAGATGAAATAGTGTAAAAAGTATTATTTTAATAAAAAAATCTTATGGTAATGTAGAAATATTGTAATGTTTTCTTACTAATCTGCTAAACTGCCTAAAATCGCTATGATTGGACATAAAAGTACTTTAATTAAGACTTAACTCTGTATACGCGGTTCTATTAGTCATTGTAAGACAATATTTCTTATAATGTAAAAAAAGACATGTCCCTTCATAAGTTACCAGGAAAGTATTTTATTAATTAAACAAGGGTTACAATAAAAAATTATTTATTGTTAAGTAACAATATTTAAAGGAACTAAACAAAAGGTACTTGCAGTATCATTAAGGAAAAACTAAACATAAAAATCAGAGTTGTCTAGGATTAATAACATTTTTTAATCACCTTCACTATCCATCTAATTAGTAATAATAATCATCACAGCTTTATTCAGACTGATACATCTTAATACTATTATAGTTCTCTAAAAATAAAAATATCCGAGTAACATTTATAAGCAGACTCATTGAAGTAGAACTAAACATAAAAAATCACAGTGGTCTAGGATTAATAATTAACATTTTTTTTTTATTTAAGTTGATTATCCAAGTTAATTATCTATATTCTACGTATTTAGTAATATTTAACAAGCAGCGGGCCACTTCGTTGGCGCCACGTTTCGCAACCGTTTCATCCCACATGTAACACGTAGCTTACTTAGACCCAGCATCAAAAACAGTAAAATTATATACTGAAAATTTCCTTTTATAATACAACACACTGATTTCACCATGTGGCGTATTATACATTAACAGATGGATTCGATTGAGCTTCAATTTTGTCAGCGTTTTTCAATTCTCTGGCAAGCTTTTTGTTATCCATGTGTAACTTATGCTTTACTTTATCATCACTAGTGGATGAGGTGTTGTTTTTCATTGCATGATAAAGGTCACATTGGTCTTTTTTAGGCACATGGAATGCTATATTCAGTTCATTGTTAACAATATCTTTGTATTGTCTTACAGAAGCAGCTATATTTTCAGTTATATTCTGCTCCTTACATCATACAGTATACAGGTCATACATTTTTTTAAAGTCAATTCACTATCTAAATACTGTTTGTTTGAGTCTTTACGCGTATAATGACTTTCTACAGGTGCTAAACTTTTAACATGTGCAGTTACATTTGCTTTCATTGCTGAATTTATAATAGTTGGATGATTTGAATGAAAACCTCTCATGTCTTTAGTACAAATACCCGTATCTTTATCATATTTATCAATGGCAGATTGTATAAAAGTATTACTTACAGAAAAAGTATTTTTAAACATGGTTTTGCATACCATTATCTTCTTTTATAAACATTTATTATAAACATTTAACCTCTTGGAATCCTGTGTCCATTGTTTTTTTCGTATTTCTTTCACATGTGATGCAATAAAAGACCACTGCTGAGAATGATCACCCAGATTCCAAAAGGTTTTGAAAATATTATTTCGACGAGTTACCTCGTTAAATTTTTCATAACATTTTAATCGACAAGAAGATGGACATGGGCCTTTTATATGTTTAGCCATTTGATGTTTCCCGGATCGAGAAATGTGAGCTTCACCTAAATTCACAAGAACCTTCCTTTTTTCATCTAAACAGTTCGATTTGTTAGTAATTCTATTCTTTTTTATAGCTTATTTTACAAATTGACGCTTCTTTTTTCGATGCTGTGGTGTTGATGAACCAGACATTTCACTAGAACCTAACGGACTTGATCTAAAAGTTGTATCAGATAGAATACCACTACTTTCTATTAAATCGTTACAATCATGAACAGACTCCCCAAAGCTCAGGCATGGACTTGGTATTGGTGTTAAAGGCTCTTCAATAATATCGTTTACAGCTACTGGTTGTGGTGTTTCATTTTTACAAAATATAGATGTACTAAGACAGTAATTTTCAATCCCATCATTCGAAATTTCCCCTACCGTATCAATAATATAGTTTAAATCACTTTGCGCTAGTATATTAGCCGATATCTGGTTCTGTTCTCCATCACTGTGATTTCCGGCAGCTTGTGTTTCGTCGTTAGAAACTCCGAAAATCGGACTTTTAGGAACTTCCGGTGGTCGATCCTCTAAATCCATCGAAATATCTTTTTCTATGCATATTCGTGTCTCTAAAAACGAAAAAAGAAAATACTATGATAATAAATAGTAATAAAAGTAAATAATAACAAATCCATATATTTTTTTTAAATTACCCGTATAAACGGACATGTAGGACATGACTTTATGTATTTCTATAACAAATAAACGCAGTAATTATTGAAGAAATCATTTATTTTTAAGTAGCGGGTAACCCATTATAATTATTGGTGAAACAATAGAATTCATTGACTGCATCATATTAGAAGCGGGTAGGTATAATATGACCGCCCCTACGCCGATTTTGTAATATTTAGGTTAGAAAAAACTATAAACATAATCAACCATTAATTAACTATTAATGTACACTTATTTGAATGAGTACAAACCTTCATTAACTTCATCCATATAATTATTAATCTTGGGCTTCAGAAACACATACAACATTATTTCTGGAGTTTGCAATTACCACTAGTAGCTTTGATCTATTATTATTCATATTTTCCAGTACGATTGTAGGTGATATACGGATATCTATAACTAAATAACACACTCAATAATCTAAAAACTGTATCAAAACAACAATTATTTGACCACACGATCACGCTTCTACACGTCTTTGTAGACGAGTTACTTTATATGACGTTTACTGTGACAAGGCCGCGTTCGCGTCGAGCGGCGCGTATTTTCAAACATCGTACACGACGATACGTAGGGTTATTCGCATATACGACACTTTATTGTATATTATGGTGTACTTGTTCCCATATACGACTTATGTATGGGGCAAACTACTTAATTTTTTGGAAAAAATCTTTTATAGGTATATGCAGATGGACAATTTAAAGCCAATAAGCGAATAAAAAAAAAATGGCATTTTCGACCTGTCTCTTTGTACGTAGGAGGCGTCGATAGGTTACCCACCCACTGATAGGTT